CTGGATACTACGGCAAATTCTGGACAAATTCCAGAATTTTTTTTTCATAGGGAGATTAATTAAATTAATTATAATTTCATCGCATCGTCAGATACGGTTTCAATATCTTAAAAAAATGATCGGATTTGCTTTGAACAGAATGACAATAATTAAAAACTCAAAGAAAATCAATAAGTCGCGTTGGTAGTTATTTTGTTTTTTCATAGTAAAATCAGGTGTCAAATTTAAGAAAATTTATAAAATAGTAACTTAATTTATTAATGCAATAAAATTTTGACATTTATTAAATAAAAGAATTTAAGATAAAATTTGAAAGTTGGTCTATTTATGATGTAAAGCTACTTTGTATAGAATTTCTAAATTAAGGTATAAAATGAAATGAAATGGCATGTCCATACATGTATGGAAATATTTGTCTTTAAAAACCATACATTCCGCACATGATTGCTACCCCTTCGTCTGTAACGCAGGAAAATTTGCCTGCATAAACATAGTAGCATGTGAAAGTCTACAGACGAATTGATAATACTCATAAAATTTGGAAAGTTATTTTGTATAAAATTTCCAAAAGCTGCGACGAAGTTTAGAAAATCCATACATGTATGGAAATATCATACAACCATCATTTATTTTACGTCATCTGATCGAGGGCTGAGAAACAGAAAGTTTTTGTTTGGTAAATTTTATATGCAAGAAAATAAAATATTTATGTCTATATAAAACATTGAAATCATCCGAATAAGTTTAAAAAAAAAATGGAATATTTAGAAAAAACACGAGAAGATTTTGAAAAGAGAATTAAGGAATTAGAGAAATTAACGAAGTGTTACGATCAGCATTAGAAGAAACCAAAATCAATATTAATAATTTAGAAGAAAAGGTTAGAGAAGAAGTCAAAGCCAAGCAAGAAATTATTAATAATTTAGAAGAGAAGGTTAGAGAGCAAGAAGAAGAAGCCAAAGAAAATCAAGAAATTATTAATAAATTAGAATCATATATTTATGATGATACTATTGAAAGTTTAACCATTACAGATACTAATAAGTTTGACATATTTAACGCCTTAGGCAGATTGAAAAAATACAAAAAATTGACAAAACTCAATTGTAATAATTCTCGAATAGCAAGCTTACCATCTTTACCAAACTCCTTAAAGGAACTTTATTGCTCTTATTCTCAATTATCCATCCTACCAACTTTACCCAACTCCCTATCGAAACTTAATTGCTCTGGTACGCCAATAACCATCTTGCCAACTTTACCAAACTCCTTAACAGAACTTTATAGCTCTTTTACTCAATTATTTATCCTACCAACTTTACCAAACTTCTTAACGAACCTATCGTGTTCTAACACTAAAATATCTATCCTACCAGAATTACCCAACTCCTTAACGAGCCTCTCGTGTTCTAACACTCAATTATCCATCCTACCAACTTTACCCAATTATTTAACGATACTTGATTGCTCTTATACTCAAATATCCATTTTACCAACTTTACCCAACTCACTAATGGAACTCACTTGCTATGAAACTCCATTAACTATCCTACCAACTTTACCCAACTCCTTAAAGAAACTCATGTGTGCTAACACTAATATATCTATACTACCAACTTTACCCGATTCCTTAATGGAACTTAATTGCTGTGGTACTCCAATGACTATCCTACCAACTTTACCAAACTCCTTGACGGCACTCTGGTGTTATAGCTCTGAAATAAATATCCTACCAACTTTACCCAATTCCTTAACGAAACTCATGTGTTCTAACACTAAAATATCTATCCTACCAACTTTACCCGATTCCTTAATGGAACTTAATTGCTGTGGTACTCAAGTAACTAAATTACCAAATTTACCCTGGTCCTTAACGAATGTCAAGCCTTACACTTTAAAACGTTACTATTACCATTAAACTATAATACATTAGCTCTTACCTTTGACCTTATAATAACCTTTCTTTTATGTTCATGTTTTTCTTTGTGGAGTGACTGCACATTACTGGAATATCTAAGAAAAATTATGGAAAAATTTGACACAATTACATTCATTGAATTTTATTTGCAATATATGGACAATTTGTAATATTATTTTACTTTTAAGAATAAAAATTTGCTTTTAACTATTTTATTAATGAAATTATATTAAATATTTAATATCTGGTTTCAAATGCGAAATTAACAATTCTGTCATTGACAACTGATTATTCATCAGTGTATAAAAACTTCCTTTCACAACAGAATATTTATTATATATATCTATATATAAATGATAACTTCTATTAAACATATTCATTTGTCTCTTCTTATTTAAAGTACAGAAAAATATGTTATTTTAAATTATTTGAAAATGCGTAAGATTTCTATAAATAAACAATTAAATTTTTTTTTCATGTATTATTATTATAGACTCAAATAGAACCAAATTATACAGAATTTTGCGATTCGTTATTGCTATGCGTATACTAAATCTCAAAAAAAAAAAAAAAAAAAAAAATGAAGAATATTTATTATTAATCATTTCTTAATTGACAAAAAATTCTCTATTGTATAAAAAAAATCATATTTTAAGATTTTTTTTGTTTTTATGAAATTTAATGAAGAATCAGTAGAAGGCATTCTCTTGGACGTCAAGTAGTGCATCGGTTGGTCTACTTCTCTATTTCTCGGACGTTTCGGACCTGTAGAATATACTGTAATAAAAGGAAAGAAGAAGTTAAAGGAAAGTATTAGAAAGTGAAGGACTGAATAATAAATCTATTAATGTCAACAATGGGTTTTCAAAAGGTTATGTTGTTTCCTTGTGAAAAGAGACCAACTACTCGAAGAAAACTTTCATGTGTAAGAAAAACACTTCTAAGAGGATAGAAAGCAAATCCTAGGGAGCGTCTGCATCCATATACTAAGTCATTGCTCTTAGCTTAATACAAAGGATGCACCAGAATATGTTTCTTCTTTTGAAACGAAAAACCTTTTATTGATTAATCAAAAGAGTTAAAGGAATGTGGGACACGACCGGACAGACAGAACTAAAGAGAAGCGAACATTATTTAACCCATGCATTCCCTTTAGCACCTACCTAGACATCGTTAAGGAGAAATAAACAAAATAATAAAAGATAGTCCTCATAAATATTAAGTTTCGCCATTAAAGGATATAATGGTAGTACGTGCACAGCCTCCTATATTTTGGACCGTGAAAAGTAAGAATCTATTACCTGCAGCTGAAATACCTACCATTAAATGATAAAAAAAAAAGAAATAATGTTAAAATTAAGATCCAAGTATTCGAACAAGTAAGGAATTCTTGCTAAGGGCGGATGGGAGTCAGATCTTAAGAGTCAATGTATTAAAGGAACGACCTCGTAGGGATAATTAGTTATCAATACGATAAAGCACTGGGATAATACTTGTCTATAGAAACGAACATCCCGGGTATTCAAACCTGTAGGTCAAGCAATATTTCGCGAATATTCTTGAACTCGTAACCAAATGGAAATCCACAACAGTACCTTGTCAAATTTGGAAAAACTCGTTCGAAAAAGTTTAGCAAATTTTGGAAAGTAAGCGTTGTTTTAGGTATGAGGATTACGAGGAGAAAAAAGTTATACTAAAGAGTTTGAAAGCTTTGCTGTTTCTTTTATTATAGAATATCCGTATATCCCATATCTATTATTACTTAATTTATTAAGGCCGAATGATCTCGGTTAGTGAGTCATCAAAGACGCGCAGTGAAACAGTCTATAAATTCGATCGCGGTTGCGCGCAATAATTTTGATTACTTAGAAAATTTTACCTTTTTTTTTTTTTTAAAAAAAAAAGGAAAAAAACCCTCCTGTTTAAACCTGGATTCGGGCTTATAACAAATTGAATTCGGAATATGGATTTGTCGCATAAATCGGAAAACGTGTTTCTAAAAAAAATTTTTTTTAACTCGTAAATTATATTAATATTACGCTCAGTTTTATATAAAAATCGATTTTTTACTGCATTCATAATATGGGAGGTTTGCTAGGAAAATGGGGCTCTGGGAATTTTTTTGACTAAAATTAAGTCCTTATTACATTTTAATCCAATAACATCAAAAACTAAAATGCAATAAAAAACAAAATTTTGTTAAAAAATTCCCAGAACCCCATTTTCCTAGAAAACCTCCCATATAGAGTCTACAATAAAATTAAAGACATGTGATCATATTAGTAATATTATTAAATTATTGCAAGCCCAACACAATATTGTTGCGCAAGTTCAATATTAGGAAGACGTTTATTTTATGCAGCTGAAAGAATAACCCTTTTTCTTGACATGATATCGGAGTTCTTTAAACAAAAATTCTGTGTGTGTTCCGATGAAAAAAAAAGATTATTCACGTTACGATAATTTTATATTTTAATTTAAGTCACGTGAATATTCTGTATATCAAATACGTGACTAATATAAGTTCGGATGCGGTAATATGGCATTTACTATATAATTTCAGTATATCCATCCATTGTAAATAATTAAAAAAAAAATTCGGTTCTGCACCACTTGGTTCGATATAACGCGTTTTCGGTATAAACAGGTTCGTTATAACCAGTGGTGATGTAAATCAAGTGACTTTTTTTTTTTTTTTAAATACTGTCAAACTGTAGCAAATAAATTTCATTGTCGCTTAAAGCAAATAGAACGTTTGACTTTACCGCAATTTTTTCCCCATGATTAATAAATGATATTGAACGTTTCCAGTAAAAGCAAGCAACACTCCTATTAAAAAAAATGACTTGGAATAAGGCTTTTCAACTCGTAAAGTAATCTCGTAATGTAATATTTGACCATTATAATTTAATCTACACAATAGAAACTATTTTGCCTTTTAACCTGTCATACACCTTAGATAATTCAACTTTATGGGTGATTCAATAAGGGGATAAATTCTGACTTAACATTTGGACAATTATTGCTTTTGGCATTGTAATAAAATTCCGCAATACTCGTAAATGTATTTATCAAAGGGTGATTAGAGAGAGTCTACTAACATCAATGACTCATTTAGCTTTCTTGGAAAATGAGGCATGAAAAGTTCATAAGGTGTCGATGGTAGTTCTATTACATTCTTCCTTCGAGCCAAAGTGATCAATGGGGTTTCTTCAGGGACAAAATCTGGAACTGAAAATAATCAAAAGTTTGTCCCTCAACAACAACATCCTCATATTCTCCTCCTCTTCTCAAGAAAATCTTGGAATTGTTGCCCTCATCATTCGGGTCAAAAAAAAATCCTCAGATAATTCATCGGATTGGACCGGATATTTAAAATTTGTAGTTTAGAATCAAGGATCTCTCTTTTTTTTTTAACAAATTATCTTGTAGTAACGTTTACTTTACCTTTAGGGCGCCAAACTGGTTCGTAGGTAAATCCTAATGGATAATTCATTAATTTTTTTGTTTTTTTTTTTTAAAAAAAAAAAATCTAAAATTAAATTAGCTTAGTAGATCTTGTAAATTCTAATAAGTAATTTTGCTAGTATATTTTTTTTTAAAAAAAATACAACTTTTGTCTTTTTTTTAGTTAATTATTTTATAATAATGTTTATTCTTTTTGGATAACCGAAAGAATTTATTTTGTATTCTAAAATTCTATCAATAAAAAAAATATACTGTATATAATTACTATTTAATTTAAATACTATAAACTTTTGATGCATTTCTAGTTAAAGCATTAAAAGTTCTGCATTCATTTTGTTTCTATTTATTGTAAGTAAATTT